GACCACGAAACACAATTGAGCATCTCAGCACACAAGCCCAGCACAATGGGGTTCTTTAGTGTCATGTTCTATTTCCACCATTAGACTTGCTTCTGTAAGGATTACAGCTTTCTGTGCTTGTGATTTGGCAAAACATAACCTCCCATGTGTCCCAACGTGTGATTTCCATCGAGAGAGGGTAGAGGGAATATTGTGAGATTGTTGTCACAGGTGTAAATGGTGAAGTGTGATTAATGCTCTGTTAAGAGCTGCATTTTCAGATTCTGTCTTGTATATGTACATTATTAGAGTGTCTCTTCAAATGAGTGGTTCAAAAACATTTTTCTTAGCCAGAGTTGTTCATTTTGTCTGATTTGTTTCAAAACCCTCTGTAATTTCTAGATTCTACTTTAAACATCACTCTTGCTTCTATGGCATTTAAGAATGGAAATTTACTGGTGTGGCTTGGTGGATTGGAGCATTGTCCCAGAGACCAAAAGGTTGTGGGTTTGATTCCTGGTCAGGGCACATACCCAGGCTGTGGTTTCAACCCCTGGTCACGGTGCCTGTAGGAGTCAACCAATCAGTGTTTCTCTCTCACATTGATTTTTTTTCTTTCTCCCTCTTTCTCCTTTCCTCTCTCGTTGAAAACAATGAAAACAAAATGTCCTTGGGTGAGGATTAAAAAAATAGAAATTTGTTGAGGCTAGAACTTCTGAAAGTCTAAGTAGTTCGAGTCTCCTAGTTTTATCCTCCTCACCATTTTTCAGCAGTTCTTAAAACATTCCGTCACACAGAGGCCCTGACATTTCTTAATCTTACTTCCCAGAACACAGTTTTGACGGATTTGTTCATGACGTTTAAGTTGTATTAAAACTGCATTGTTAAAACATGGGTTCATTTTTTCAGGCCACTAAGATGCCACTTAGTGCATCACAAGACAACTTTGTACCCTGGCAATAACCTGAGCTCTGGGGAAAGAACCCCAGGGGCCGTCAACAGGAAGCATGGTACACGACAGTGTGGCCTGGGGCCACTGCAGGGAACACACGGCAAGCCAGCGACCAATGAGAGAGCTCACTGGAACGCGCCCAGAGCTCGCCCTCACCAGGCCCTTACTCTGTGTGAGGGCATAGTCCTAAGCTTTTATGCATTTATAAATTTGCTTAATCCTTTCAGTCACACTCTGAGGTGGGCACTATTATAGACCATGCTGTGTTGTTGATAAGGAAGTGGAGGCACAGAGGTTTCCTGACTGGCCCACGCACACACAGCACCTGGTAGCACCAGGAACTCAGTGCCGGCAGTCGGATTCCAGGGCCCTTGTCCTGAGACGCTCTGCTACACTCCTTCTCAGAACCAGAGTACTCCCTGTGGTCACTCAGAGAAGCGCAGCAGCAGGGAGAGTCCCTGGGACTGAGGAAGGTCTACACCAGGACTGACTGGATGTCATGCCACTGTCAGCTGGTGCTGCTCAAATGCGATGACCAATGAGAGTGCCGGTATTTTCAGTAGTATTACTGCCCAGATAGAAGTCAGAATCCATTTCCTTCATTGAAGACCAACTAGTTTAAGAGTAGACATTCCTTGGTTATTGAGTCTTTTGTGAGTTTATCATAGGATCATAGAACAATAGAGTTGGAATGGACTTTGTGATAGATTCTAGTGACTGAATCTGGAAATAAGAGATTAACATATTTTCGGTGACAAACAAGGTTATATCCTCCTATTTTAAATATGCGTATTCTATATCTCTTTACCTATGTAATTTGTTACTTGATTATTATAGTTGATGCAGAAGCCAGCCTTCCTCACTAGCACGCAAGGCCAATCAGCCTGCTTCTGTTTTGCTCACCACTCCATCTTCAGTGCCCAGTACCTGGGGAGCCGCTCAGTACATATTTGTTGACTGGCCAATTGACTGATTGATCAATTCACTAACTTCCATGAGGCAGGCCCTGTGACAGTGTGTGCTTCACTGCCACCTTTGGGAACAGCTGCATGATTAAGGGCCACCTAATGGACAGGAGCCAGGTGCTGGGACAGACTGCCAGGTCTATATCCCAGCCCCTCCATTTGTTAGCTCTGTGGCCTTGTGAAACTTACACAGCTCTCTAAGGCTCAGTTTTTTTATCTATTAAATGGGCATAATAATAGTACTGACCTCATAGCATCGTTCTAGGAAAAAAGCTAGAGATTCACTCTAAGCATTCCCTAGGTCAGCACCCGCATCCTTCCCCATGCCTGAGGAGCGGGACAGTGGTCCCCGTGAGGTGGGTCACTTTGAAAGGCCTCCAGCCCCTTCTTTAAACACTGTGAAGGACTACCTGGTCTAACACCTCCCAACCCCCAAAGCCTTATAGCCTCTGTCGATAATTCCTTTCAAAAGCTCATCATTTTCACTGTCCAAAAGTGTTTGTGTCACTATGTCTTTGCTCTCTAATTACATTGTTTTTGCTAATTAACTTCAAACTCTGAAATTAATTTAGTCGAGCCAAACTCCTTCATAGAGTTTATGAAGCCCTTCAAGATGTGACCTCTCCCTCGTTCTGAGCTCTGCTCCTCAGCTCTTCCCGCTCCTGCCCCCCACTTCACCCACACAGAGTTTGTTCTTGGACAGCACCATGTTTCCTTTCCCCTCCATTCTTTTCCCTCTTGTTCCCTTGGCCTGGCACACACTTCCTGTGGCCCGAGGCCTCAGCTTCTCCCGACCCTACTGAGGTCTGAGGACCCCCGTGTCACTCCTGTTCTCACTGAGTCTTTCCTAGCCTGCTCCCCGCACTAGGCTATGACCCACTGCGGCGTTCCTCGGGCCCCCAAGCACTCAGTAAATACCTGTCTGATCGATGCGTGGGCAAATGGATGAGGAAAGTTCAATTCTGTTGAGTCAAGCAAATCAATGCGGAGAGTCAAGTTCACTCTTTCCTTTTAATGTATCATGGATATGAGGAAACAGCACCTTTCTTCATTAGAAAATGTCTTAAATCTTTGCTTGCTTGAAGCTATACCTGGGGCGGGCCTTGTCTTTCATTCCCACCTAAACAACCACAGTGGAACCTTACCTGTGACAGTGCAAGACAAGCCCTAAAGTCAGTCACTAATCCGGTCCAATGCAAGAAGCTTTTTTGCATGTTTATATTCTAATTTACTACTATTGGTTTTTCAAATAAATATTGAATACCACATTTGTGTTGACAGGAGTATTTTTAGAGGCTCAGGTATTGATTTAAGGAATGCTTTCTGATTCTTCTGTCTCTGGCAGAGGGCAGAGCACTGGGTGAGGGAGGGTAGGCTAACCCGCAGTGCCCGGTGCCCACAGCCATAACCAGGTGAAGGGGCAAGGTCCCCACAGTGAACAGTGAAATAAGTCACATACAGAATGTTAATTCTGTATTATTCAAAATGAGATATAATGTCTCATTTTGATCCTTATGGAGTCCTGAGAAATAGACAGAATAAATATAATTCATCCCCACTTACAGCGGAGAGACACTGGCTTGAGGGGACATGGTCTGCCAGCTGGTGCTTAGCCACGTAGTGATAGACCCAAACTTAAGCCCAGCTCTGTCCAGTCCCAAGTCCTGCGTGTCCTGCTGGACGGCTCCATGCCCTTAAGACACACTCAGTGACTCATAGAACAAGCAATAGGCAGAGCCAAAATTGTGGTGAGTTCCCAGGATGGGCCATCAGACAGGAAAGCTTATCTGAGCCCCAGAGATATCGGTATCATGTGTGTGTGTGTGGGGCGTGGCAAGTCACACAGTCTGGTGTTCAGTTTCCTGATAGATGAGGGCCATCTCCATCCAGGCATCTTGCTGGAGGAATGCATTCATTCTTCCCCTGGTATGTGACAAAGGAAGACCCACCTGCTCCAGAAAGTTTTCCATCTTAATACGTGAACTAAAAAATTCACAATGACAATTTAGCAAGACGTGGGAGTTTTGGCTTTTTGCTCTAGTTTTTGCTTTGTATCAAATCAAAGAAATCTGGGTCCCTGTTAAGAAGAGTAAATTAGCGTCAGGTGCACCATTAGTTTGTTTATCCAGCACAAAATCGTGTCCTCTGTAAATGGGAATATCAAATAGCATAAAAACGCTGGCTGATTTGCATTTTCCTTTTTGATTAGAGGATTGCATCTGCTGAACTCAAGGGAGGAAAATCTCTCCCATTTAGCTTTTGAAGATCAAAGGGACCAGTAAATATGCCATATTACCAGCATTTTTTTTTCTTTTTTGGTGAAGCCTGGAAGGTGCTTTACAAATTGAGACTGCCATGGGGAAAAGAGAGGACTTTATTTGGGGTCAAGTTCACTTCCCTCAGCCAGGACAATCAGTTTAACCTTTTATTCAAATAGGGCTGCCCTACAGCTTCAAGTAAACCCTGACCTGTCTGCTGAGTTTTCTGTGCAGAGACCTGAGCTGCCACCTGATTCTAAATCTTGGGGATTGTTCTGTAGTGTGTTTGATAAAATCGACAAACACAAAGTGAACTGAAAAGTAAAACCATTGACAAGGAGGAGAGCCTGTGCAGGAATTCAGCTGGGATGAATCTCGTTTCCTCCTGAAAGGGAGTAGATCGAGACAAGTGTCCAGGTAACGCTCGTGTTTTCCTTCTTAGATGAATAGCCAAATGTGTGCATGACCAGCTAAAGCATGAAGTCAGCTTCGTCTTCAGCAGCTGAAATACTTGCGGTGTGCACGAGTAATAGCATTTCTCGGACCAGTCATTGGCTGGTTTAACGTTAGAGACACTTGTTTGACAGTTGTTTTCTGGTGTTTAGAAATTAACTGTCCCCAGTTTCTAGTCCCTATTTTAATAAAATTGAATAATTAAGACCTTTTTGCCATTATGGGTGGTGTGCAGGCCTAATTTGAAAATGCCCGAGACATGTCTTTAACATGTCGGTAGTAAAAGGAAAATTATAGGAGATGGGTTGAGATTGATTTAAAATAAAATGAGCAACTAAATGTAATGAGTAAATTTACCTTAACTATTTGGCATTTCTTTTCTGCTTTGGGCAGCCAACACCCAGAAGAAGACAAATACTCGGATCTCCGCTATGACCCAAACTGGAAGAGTAAGAGAGAGGAAGGGCAGTCACTGAGTGTGGAAACATCGCCAGAGTCTCCAGACAGCCCCACAGAGACTCCGGCTCTGGGTCCACTCTACCCTTCCAGGGAGACTTCGCTGGAACTCCCAGGGGGGAAGGGCGAACAGAAAAAGAGCCCACAGAGCGAAGCCTCCTTACTTGGTAGTGAATTTTTAAGCCCAAACTATGAGCACGGCGCCCATCGCAGCAAGCTGTTTTCGGAGTTGAGCGACAATGACCTGGCAGAGAAGTCCAGCAGCCTGTCTCTGTACTCGAAGAGTCCCAAGTCGCGCAAAGAGGTTTTCTCCTCAGGACCATGTGGCCCTCGGCGAAGGAAGTACAAACAATATTTTGTGGAAAAAAATAAGCTGACTTTGGGATTACCTACCCCTAAAATGGACTCTTACCTTCAACTTCACAATAGAAAAAGGGAGGACATGCACACAGAACAGGTATGTACCAGCTACTTAAAAATCTCACCAGCGGTCTCTCCCTCCCGGGAGCTGGCCCGTGTTTTTCCCATCCCCCCTACCCCACACCAGCTTCACCCTTCTCTCTCCTGATCTCCAAGGGCTTCTTCTTTTGACTCGGTAACTTGTTTTCTGAGCTCAATTTTCCCGCCTCTGTGACTCTCTAAATAAACTTCCTCTTATAGTTTGAGTCTTGGCTCTGAATTCTTTCCAGGCCAGAACTCAAGTTATAAAGGGAAAAAATGTCATCTGAAGCACTGAACTGGAATTTGCCTTTGTTCGAAATGGCTGGGTATCCCTTCTGAGAGATAGTGGCGGCAGTGTTAACACCTGCCTGAGTAAATCTAATGCCCTAGGGAATTATTCCACAAATTCCTACAGGCAAAATAAAAGTTTTGAATGGTTTATACTCCTGTAATTGCTGCAATTCAATTATCTCTAAAATGTTTTCATTGAAGGAACTGTAAACTTTATTTAAACTGCATACTCCAATGGAGAAATTTTGATTCCCTATGTTGGTTGCCTTTGCAGCACTGGTTTCCAACCTGATTAGCTGCTCCCAACACATTGGAGATGACAGGACATTCAATAGTGGCAACTCACGTACAGAAGTAATTCCCAGTCAGATCCCGTGTACTTACCAGGTGGGAGTGGAAGGAGGGCAGATACAACATGGGGTATTTTTTAAATCCAAACTATTCTATTACCTTTCTAACTCCTGTTAATAATCCCTACAGCATCCGTTATTATCCTATCCCGATTAAACCTTAGTCTGTCCATCTGTAAAATTAGAATAATAATAATAAATGTCCTCCCTTGCTCATCTGACCATTTTGAAGGTAAATTCTATCCCAGATGATGGATTCAAAACCTATTGAATCCAGTAAACTTAGTTCTACTTCATGGGTGCAGGTAAAGGTCATATCAACCCAGTGTGTAATGAATGATTCCACTGTGGACACGAGAAGAGAGTGTGGTTGGATCCGAGTGTCCACCACCCTTATTGGGGGGAGCAGCTTGAAGTACATCATCTGCTATGGTGGGGCCAGAGCAGGAGACCGTGTGACATTGAGTGGGGATTCCCGTAACCCTATTCCAAACCTAAATGGGTCTCATCGAAAGTGCTGTAACCTAGTTTAACCTGTATTTTCTGATGGAACAAGAGAGATGGGGTGAATGCTTGTGATTATTTTCTTGATTTAGAGCTCCCTTGAGAAGCAGCACCTTGCTGGTTGCTAGATGTCATGCTGCCAATTCATGACTTACTTAATAAAGACAATTAGATATTTAAATTTAAAAAAAATTTCTTTTATAGTCTAAAAGAATTATGTCACATCCTTGCCTTTGTGACTAATAATAAGACGGAGTGGGTGTCATAGATTTAGCTGAGTTATCAAAACAAATATTTAGCTGAAGTGAAGCAGAGTTTACAACATTTTGACCCAGTTTTAGATGTTTAATGTACTTTTTTGTTTTATAAAACCAACATGAATTTTGAATTTTGATCGCTCATTTAAAATTATAAATAAATTTGATGGCCTAGTATAAGTGAAAAATATTTATAGCTAATTATTTCTCCCAGGCTAGGATATGTTTCAATTTGTTTTAAAATGCGTTGTCAGAAGAAGCTGATATAAAAGGAGAGGCAAATAGGCTAAAATAAGTAGTTATATTTCTAATAATAAAAAGGAAAAAATGTTAACTATAAACTCTTTCATTGCTGATATTTGATTGTTAAGTAATTATAACTTAATTTACTAAACCTTGCTGGGTTGAGCTGAATGTCAGTGATTCCATAGCGTGGTTTTCATTATGCCAAGGAGACTTTCGGGCATTGTGGGCTTGCCCAGTCTTTAAGCTCATGATTTAGCCTTTAGCCATGGACCTTGTCCATTGCTTTCTCCAGGTTCAAATATTTAAGGGCTGGTTGCTAATTGTATTTAAAATTGTTTCATAACCATTTCTAACATATAGTTTCCTCATTTTCTATTCTTTTAGAAGGATAAAAATTAGTTTGACCTAACAATGATATGATGATATGTGTATAACTTTTTAGTCCATGTTATAGTCAGTCACATGAACCATATTACTGTAAAATAATTATTTAAGAACTGTGTAGTCTTTTGTGCCAGTGCAGATTATATATTTTCTTATGAGCAGGAACTATGCTTTGAACAGATATTTTTAAAGATTTTATTTATTTATTTATTATTAGATAGAGGGGGAGGGAGGGAAAAAGAGAGAGAAAGAAACATTGATGTGAGATCACATCCATTGGCGTCTCTCACATGCCTGCAACTGGGAACCTGGCCTGCACCCCAGACATGTGCCCTGCCCTGGAACCGAACCTGCAACCTTTTGGTTCGCAGGCAGGCACTCAGTCCACTGAGCCTCACTGGACTTATTTTTAATCTTCATAGTAACTAGCCACCCTCACTTCAAGGACTCAGTAAATATATGGGGACTGAAAACTACATCTCTTCCCTTACATCCAGACTTGACCCTCTTCAGTCTAACTTGAAGTTTATGTGGGCAAAAAGGTATTCCTAAAGCAGAGGTGTGAACTCCTGGCTGGGTATTAGAAGCCCTGAGAAACTAAATGTTGGGCAAAAAGTGATTCTCAGCTTTATGCAGGCCACTTCACATCTCTGAGTGAGAATTTGAGCATCAGAATTTTTTTAGAGACCCTCCGGTGACTCTGATGTGAAGCCTGATTTGAGAAGCTTTGCTTGGGACGGAGCAGAGGCTCTCACCCTTGACTTCAAATTGGAATCGCCTGGAAACGTTTGAAAGCCCTGGAACATTCACCATGTGAAGCCCTGGAATTCTCATTTAATTCATTTGTGGTATCCCATACACATGGGGAGTTTTCAGGGCTGGCCCAGGCTGGTCGCTGGTCCAGAGCAGTGGTCCTTAGTCGTTAGCACAGGTGAGATCCTCTGAGGGCTCGTCAAGCCAGGTTGCTGGACAGAGCCCAAGGACTTCTGGTTGGGGAGAAGTCAGGCTGGGCCCAAGGGTCTGAACTCTCTACCTGGTTCCAGAGGATGCCCCTTCTGTTGTTGGGTGTGCACTTTGAGAACCACTGATCTTTTGCTTCTCCAACTTTAAAGTGCTAATGAACTACCTCAGGATCTTGTTAAAATACAGATTTTGACCCCAGTAAGTCGGGGGCAACACAAGGGCATGCGTTTGTAACAAGCTCCGAGGTGACACCAAGGCTGCTGGTCCACGGACCACACTTTGAATAGCAAGCAGTGAGAGTATAAAGGACATAAAGCGTTTATCAGAAAACTAAAGCCAAAGTGGGGTAAGTCAGTACCCACGGAGCTTCGGTGATCGCAGTGGCCTCTGGGGGCTTTCCTGTGATTGAGAGGCAGGAGGGCGACATGGGGACCGTAGGGTACACTGAGCAGCATCCTTCTGTAAGTCTTTTGGATTCGAACATCTGTTTTCCTCTTCTAATTTCTTTGAAAGAGATGACAGATGTCTTACAACTAGGAACATCGAGAGGATAAATAACATCTATTGTTGAATGAATGAATGAATAAATCTCAATTACCATGACACACAACCAAGAAGACTCAGCTTTTTAATTTTTTTTTTGTAAGCACCCATGCCCCCTTTGAGTCAGACTTAAGGGTCTTAAGTAGTGTGTTGTATTTAGGAAGATTTGGAAGTGAGTCTAAGAAGTTTCTAACATCCCAATAAAACTCTCTATAGTTTTGTTAAAATAAGACTTGAAAAGCTGATTATGAAGTTCACATGAAAAATCGGCATAAATAATAAAGACAGCTCTGGAAATGAAAGGTTCTGAGAGAATATAGCCCTACTAGATAGTATAGTGTATTATAAAGCCTCAATAATTAAATTTTAAGGTAGTATTTAATGCATATACTAATAGAAAAATGGAAGAGCAGTACAGAAAGTCTAGAAATAGAACCAAATTCCATATGAGAATATAAGATCTGAAATGAAAATTTATTTGATGAAGGCGGGGCCACAAGTCAGGGAGGGAGTCGGGAGCTGTTCAGTGAAACAGCTGGGTACGCCACCGGGGGGAGAGGTCAAGTTGGATCCATACCTCATGCCATCCGACAGGTGAAATTCTAAATGAAATATTTAATTTTTAAAAATCACAAAAATACTATTAAAAATAGGAAAATTCTCTATAATCTTGAAGTTGTTTAAAATCAAGAATCTATAGATGATTGATAACTTTGACTCCATAAACATCAAAAACTGTTGTAGGAAGAAAGCATATGAAAAGATCAAAATATGAAGAACTAGGGGAAATGTTTCTAACTTATATCACAGACAATATACTAATATCTTCAGTACTTAAAGAGCTCCTAGAAATCCATAAGAAAAAGACCAGTGCTCCAGTATAAAATTACAAAAAATATATGAAAAGATAATTCACAGAAAAGTTAATACATGTGGTTATTAGGTATATAAAAGATCAGTTATTATAAGAGAAATGCAAATTAATACCACACTGAGATTCCATTTGCCTATAATTAAACCAACAAAATTTCCCAAGTTTGATGAACCTACAGGCAAAAAGTATAGTCAAGCTGGTGAGAGAATAAATTAGTATACCAGTATGGGGGAAATTTTGTTAGTATCTATTTAAAATGTAAATTCACATACCCCTTGAGAAAAGTGTCATGGCGAGGAGCGTGAACTTTGGAGACAGGTGGGCCGGCCCCAGTTCCTGCTGGCGTGTGTCCCGGAGCAGCCTGTTCTCCCTCCCACTGCTTCAGTTTTTTCATCTTTGAAATGGAGATGATAATAGTTCCTTCCCCATAAGATTATTAAGAAAGTTGAGTAAATGAGTTAATATGTGTAGAATGTATAGCTCAATGCTTGGCTTAGAGCAGGCGCCATGTAAAGGCTGGCAACGATTATTTTTGTTTGACCCAGCACATTCCACACTTGGGAGTTTCTCCTCGTTACGTGTGCGCAGTTCTGAAATAGCTCCT